CTCTATCAAGCAAGATTCGTGATACGTGTCCATGGCGAATCGTATCAAAAGCTGTTTTGATACCCAATGTCCCAACAACCAGCGGCATGCCCCAATGCCTGGCCACAGTGATGGTTTGGGTCGCGATCGCAATGATATCATCACATGCGAAACCAGCTTTGAAACCAAATGTCGCCACAGAGCTGGGCGGTACAGACTGCCGAAAGGGCGGTAGTTGTATGCTACGGGCATACCACTTTCCAAAACAATCCAACGTACAGATGTATCGAAACTCGTCGAAAACCACCGGCTTAGCTATTTTTGGAATGCCGGTGTGCTGGATTTGCTTCCAACTGGGAGAGTCCTCAGAATCGTTCTCCAAGTATCGTCGCCGAAACAATATCCACACTTTGTAAACGAGGTAAAACGACAATCCCTTGTAAATCTCTGGCGGCGCCCCGTCGAGCCCCGCCGCCGTGCCAGACTTCATGCCAGCCCTACCTGCGATAACTTTCAAGAAATCCAGGGAAGGCGGAGATCTGCCATCCAGCTTGGCATTCCGGCTAATGCAGTCCAGCGTATCCAAACGCTGAGTTTGTGTCTCGTGTTAAATTGTTTTCGTCGCCGAACCGTTGAGCACCAAAAGCTGTCAGTCCATCGCGCCAGTCTTCTCTGTTCGCGGTCCAAGCCCCGTTGATCTGCAAACGCACTGGAATTGGGAGTTTTGGCCGGCACGTCCCCAATCTGCTCAACTGTTTCTTTCCCCGCCGCTGGCGAGCGTTACGACAAGCCCTCCGGAGCTGGTTCACGGCCTCCACCCTGGCCGCCCCAGAAGTATTTGCAACCAAACGCCGTGCCTGCCTCACCGGCCCTCCGATCGACCCATCCTGGACCGATCTCCGCTTCCCAGCGGTATCGTGATCAATGGTCTGGGCTGTATGGAGAAAGCCACTTTGCATCTTTGACAAGCTGCAGTCGCGAAATCGTAGACACTGCAAGCGAAAGCTGTCCAGACATTCCTCTGTGAGAGGCCTCCAACCTTTCAATCCCTTGCCAGACCGACGATCGCAGCGCAATATATCCGAAAATCGATAGGTACCCATGACGGGTCGGTGGTCGGATTTATGGAATATTTTTTTTCTGAACTTTTGCACCCTTGCGGATCCAACCATGCCCGGAGAAGTGCACAAATAATCTATTTGAGACCTGGATGCCGGTTGGTGTCTGACTCCGCGTGTCCAGAGAGGGAGGGGTCGGACCCGTGCTATCGGCCCCCTCCAACCAAGTATCTGGGAAAGTGTTGTCCGCCCGCACGCCGAGAGCGGCCAGCCAAGACGACGTAACACGAACAAGACTGTGGGGGTAGGCTTTCTTCCTGCCGAACACACTCGGCCCGGTCAGCGTGTCCAGGTAAGCCGGAAATTTGACGTTTGCGTCATTTCCCACGACAACATTGAACTCTATGTGCTGGCTAGCGTTACGAATTCGATGCACGAAGCGGACGGTGTCCTGGAACACCAAGCTAGCCCGGCCATGCTCTTCTAGGTGATCAAGAACATGCGCGGAGATGAAGATCGTGTTGTGTATAACGATACCACACCAATAATCCCCCCAAGTAACATCCTTGCACTTTGACATCCAAGGTCTAGGAATAATAAAAGCGCAATCACAACCTTCGGAAGAAATAGTGGTATGGCCGCTGTAGGTGAAACCGTTGATATTTCCCCACGCAGGAACCTCTTGCAGACAAGCCACAAAATCCCCCCCATACTCACGGAAGTATCTACAGATTTTGCTGGCAGCCGACGACCCCTTCTTACAAGTGTTCCAGGTAATCAACGTAAAGGGTGAAACCTCTGACGGCGGGCTGTCTCACGCCCGCTTGAACGACCACATCTCCTTGTTCATCCCCGCCCCGTCCAGTCCGAAAGCCTGGTGGGTGTTGGACTCGTTCCACCACACGGCCCCGTTCTGGTCGATGTAACCCATCTCCACCTTCTCCTCCCCAATCTTGCACGTGAGCAACCAGTGCGGGTTGTACGAGCACTCGGCCAAAGAATCTGGGTGGATGATTTTGATTTTGTGGTTCAGGAACGCCTTGGCTTTGCCGACCTTCTCGTAGTGGAGCTGATCCGCCGGGGACCTCTCGGCATTCGTCAACAACTTACGGTTATTGTAGTAAGTGGCTTGGTCCTCCAGGAGCTCTTTGAAGCAGAGGGCGATTTCGATGGCGTGCGAGTCGACATGGACACGAATGCGATCCGAGCGGCTTCCGAACATTTCGAAGTCCTTCACTTTGGAGGCCAACGAGTCTGGGAGCTTCGCCTTCAGTGCATTAACGAAGGGCTCGGCCTCGGCTCTCGAAATGCCCTTGGTCCGGCTCTCGGCATGAGTAGAAAAGTTATTGATCGTGAAGAACGTGGGTTTGAAAGCGGACGGCACACCCGAGCTCCCTGCATCACTTCCCGACCCCCCTCCGGATTTGGCGATACGCAGCGCCTCATCGCACTGCTTCTTGAGGTCACGCAAGTTCAACAAGTTTCGAGAAATCATGTGGTCACGCATCCTGCTGCTGAAAAGCATCCTCGCGTAGATTAATTAATCATCTCCTTCCTCGCTGTCAGACTATTCAAGCGGGCTTTACCCTTGGCACGTTTGGCTTTTGGTTGGGTGAGCGGGCGCCAGATACCAGATCAGCTATCACTTATGAACCACACTATTGCAGAATGAGGTCAGCGATTGCTACTTGACATGGAGTTGTGCAGATATCCCTTGGATTTGTGTCTGCCCCCCACCCCCAGTGTGCACTGATGATACGGGTTTGTTTTAGCAGTCGAGCGTTTTCGTGCACCTCCCTCCCTAGGCTGTCGGCAGGAGCCCGAGAGGAGCTTTGCTACTCAAGCTAGACTGTGAAAATTCGCGGTTTGGCACGAGCTCGCTGGGACCGAGCTTACAAGGCAAACACGTTCAATCAGTTTCGAGAGATGTTGTGGTCACGCATCGTGCTAATTAAAAGTGTCCCAATTCATCCTCCCTCTTCCGTCCTCTCCTTCCACGCTGCCAGACTACAGTCAAAAACCCAAATAAGGACGCGCGACTTTTCTCAGGGTACCCTTGCGTCCTTGCTCTTCCTTGCTCTTGCGTCCTTGAGGTTTTCGTCGCCCGCCGCCCCAAAAATCCCAACTTCGGCTTCCAAGGGTCTTGCGTCCTTACCGCGCGTCCTTATTAGGATTTTTGACTGTATTCAAGCGGGCTTTGCCCTTCGCGCGTGTGGTTTCGCACTGAGTGGGCGCGGGCGCCAAATACCGGTTTGGATATCACGTGCGAACCACGTTATGATGTTGATGGTGATGTTGATGCTGCTGATGATGGCGGTGGTGATTCTGGTGCTTCTGCTGATGATGAGAAGGAAGAGGAGGAGGAGGAGGAGGAGGAGGAGGAGGAGGAGGAGGAGGAGGAGGAGGAGGGGATACGGTGGAGGCCGAGGAGCACGACATGATTAGTTGGGAGCGGTGCGAGGTCCAAGGGCAATCCGTGCAGTGAAGGACGGACATGAAGGGAGGGGACTGAGGCTCCTCGTTTCTTGCTCTTCGATGGGCCCTCAGACAGTCTCTGGATGCCAAAGTCGCCAAATATTCGCGTAATCAGTCGGGTATTTAATTGGTGAGGTCTTTTGGCCAATCAACGGCGACGGCGATGCGGGGGCGGCGGCGGCGACGACGACAGCCAGTGGCGACAACCATGACGGCGGCGACGGCGGTGCGGAGACGACGACGGCGCCTGCATGGCCGCCGACGACGCCGGCGACGACGACGAGGGCAACGACGACGGACGAGGGGAAAAGAAGGTGAGGTACTGGTACGGGCGCAGGGCGAAGACGATGAGCACAACAAGTCGCGGAGGAGGGAGGACCCGCAGCAGGCAGGGGGGCCTCGGCCCATACCTGAAAGGGGCGTGCGGCCCCGGAGCTGGCGGCCAGCAGCGCCGGGCCGCGTTCCTTCTTCCTCCTGGCAGAGGCCAGTATTATTCTGCGCATTTCGAAGAAGGCACAACAAAAACATGAACATAAACTTTTGGCGCTCCGCGTGGATTCTTTGGATCCGCGCTAGTCCGCCCCGGCGGCGCCTCCGGCGCCGCCCCTCTGGCGCCGCCCCTGGCGCGCTCCGCGCGCCAGGGAGGGGGGGTCCAGCGCAGCTCCAAGAAATCCGCGCGGAGCGCCAAGCGTTTACGTTTATGGCATTTCTTCTTCTTCTTCTAGCATTGTCCACGGCCGAGTCTTGCCCACTCGTCCCACACGTTCCACGTGTGCGCAGTGCAGAGGTGGTTTCAACACAGTGGGGGCGCGCATCAATAAACCATATGCTGTTCGCCAGGGCCCCCTTGGTTTCTTCGCTCGTCGCGCTGCGCGTCGACTTCGCGCGGGTCTTCAGGGCGGCATAGCTTACGAGGGTTTCGCGCGGCCGCGTCCGCACTGTAGAGAACTTGCTGGCATAGGACAGACTGGCTGTTCAGCTCTTGACAGAACTTGCTAGCGCAACGCTGTGTACGCTCCACTTTCTTCTCCTCGGTGGGCCAGGTTGTTTGGTTTGTCTCGGATGGCCAAGTCGTGCCCATAGTAAGACACTTTCGAAGCGAGCCCGTGAGGGAATGCAACCCCCCATGTCGAGGGCAATGCTCAGGTCCTTGAAGAATTCGTCCCAGTACCGCAGCCACTTTTCTCCTCCTCCTCCTCCTCCTCCTCCTCCTCCTCATCGTCCTCATCCTCTTCTCTCTCCTCGTACCCGCCACGGGCGCGGCAACGTCTCCTCTTCCTCCTCGGTGGCCCGAGGACCTCCTGGCCTCGAGACCCCTCCTGCATCTTTTGGAATCTCTCCATCCTCCCCCCATCACTTTACGACCCTGCTCCTCCCTCCTCTCCCTCCTGCCCCCCCGGCGGCGACGACCATGACTTCGCACGACGTCGCACGACAACGAAACACCACGGCGGCGTCGGCGGTGACGACCAGCCTTTGGAAGCCGAGGTCACCTCCTGGCACAAGATGGCGCTGGCCTTCGCGCCGGGGCTGCCGTGGGCGCGCCTGGCGGTGTGGCCGATCTCCTCGCCGCTGCGGCTGACGCTTCTGGAGCTGGAGCTGTGGGGCGAGCCCGTGGTGCTGGCTCCCCGGCCGGGTGGGCGGACCCCGGGACTCGGGCGCTTTCGCCCGAAAGCATGATCATCACAGATGGATCCAGCTGCAGAGATGCTGCGGAAACATAGTGTGCTGGTCTCCGATCGTGATTTTCGCGATGTTGCATTCTTGTCGCCACGTCGGATCTCAGGGTGGGCGGAGGGAGTTCTTGAGGAGGAGGAGGAGGAGGAGGAAGAGAAGGAAAGGGAAGGGAAGGGAAGAGCGGAGGAAGATTAACAGCACGAGATAATTGGTGGGAAGGAGGGGGAGGGAGGGAGATAAATGGAGAAAAGGAGAGGGCTGAGGAGACAGGGCAGGAGGAGAAGGAGTCATTAGGGGGAGGAGCATGAGCTTGACGCGGGAGGAACTGTAGATAGACAAAGAAGTGGAGCCCGTCATTCCGCGCCCCCCCCAGATTCAAAGTCGGTCCCAGGCATGCTGCGGCACAGGCGTGAGAGGACAAACAGGGTGAACCCCCCCGGGCCCGGCGACCTGGAATCGGGGGGGAGGGGGCGGGACGAGATATCTCGGGTCGAACACGAAGGGGTTCTACCTTTTCATCTCCTTTTCCGGACGGATGGAGGCAGGAGAGCACGCCGTGCTGAGGCCGAGGGGAGGGGGCGGGACGAACACGGTGTCGAACACGAAGCGGTCCTACATTTTGCAGGCGATCGCAAACATGGATCAAGAGGGCGTGGATTAGCGACGGGTCCCGTTTCCATGGGAAATCGCGGATCTCCGCCGCCGAGCGAGGCGGCGCCGGCCGTATTTTGGGAAGGGCACTTCCCCCGATCCATGGATTTGGTGACCGCGCGCCAAGACCACGGATCGCTAATTCATGTTTGCGCGCCCCCGACTTTTCATCTCCTCTCCGGAGGGATTCAAGGGAGGAAAACTACACGGACCGGACAATTTTAATCGCTTCGCTCATTCCACCGGTCCTGGAGCCCTCTTTAGGGCCTCTTGGGGGCCTCTTGGGGACCTCTTGGGAGTCTCTTGGGGCTCCTTGGCGGCGTCTTGGGGGCCCCCAGGGCCTCTTGGGGGGCTCTCGGGGGCCTCTTGGGGCAGGGGCGGGGGTAGTCGATTGCCCCCCCCCCCCCTCGGAGGCCACGATCCTCGTGAGGGGTGTCGAAAAATTGCCCGGTCCGGCATCTCTGACCCCCACCCTCCCGGGGACCTGCCGGGGTACTTTTCGCCCGGGGACTCCTAGGGGCCGCCCCGCGCGCGCGAACTAGAAATACTGTTTACCTGTTACCGGAGATCTTAGCACGCCCTGGCTCGTTGGGCCGGCGAATTGGCGTTTATTATAAACGGCCCTGGGCGTTTACTTCACAACCCTGCCCTGTTTGATTCCTTCTTCGGGCGCGTTTACTAAACGACTTCGCGTGCCGGGATGGTCATTATGCGGGTGGATTTTTTGACCTCTAGGGATGCAGGCAGGAGAGCACGCCCCGTGGAGGTCGCCGCCCTCGCTCCTGGCAACCTCGGGGTTCCCGACGTGTCATCGTCCGAAGTTGTCCGCGCCCTGCTTCCGGCTCTCGGAGGGCCTCCGAGACGTCGCAGGCTCCCATGGCCTCGCGCCAGCTTGCCAGCAGCGCGTGTCTGGAGGGGCGCGAGTGTGTGTGTGTGTGTGTGTGCGTGTGCGTGCGTACTTGTTGTTTGTGTGCGTATATGTTGTCGTGTTCTCCGCTGCTCGCTTGCTGTTCGACCCTTCTGACGCCGCGCGGGTGCCCGCCTGCGGTCGCGATCAAAACATATGCTACCGTGCGCCGTCTTTCTCTGCACGTGCGGCCGCCTTTTTTTGATTGCCCCCATCGGCACGCGTTCTTCCATGCCTCCCAGAATGGGGTCGGAGTAGATGGGGTCGAAGGATCGAGCCGCATCGCCGATGCGTCGGCGATGCATCAGCGATGCGGCTCGATGTGGGGTCAGATTTCCTCCACGCCGACGTCGCCGATGCATCGCGGATGCATCGCCGATGCCTCGCCGATGCATCGTCGATGTATCGGCGATGCGGCGCGATCCTCCGACCCTATCTATTCGGACCCCATCTAGGAGGGAGGCCTCTACTTCTGCGATCGTCAGCTTAACGCATCCCGCTAACGCCCCAGCTGAATTTGACCAACCAGACACGAAGCAACCCTTGTGTGTGTGTTTTCCTTCGCCCGTCTCCAACCACGGGGCGCGTGCGGCTTCTGCGCGCGATCGGACTGGACTGACTTCCCCCCCTAAGGAGCCTCCTCTGAGGCCTCCAGGGGACGAAGGGAAGGAGGGGGGGCGGAGGGGGAGGAAAAGGAGGAAGAGGCGGACGAGGAGGAGGAGGAGGAGGACGAGGACGTGGACGAGGACGAGGAGGACGAGGACGAGGAGGAGGCGGAGGACGAGGAGGAGGAGGAGGAGGAAGAGGAGGAGGAGGAGGAGGAGGAGGAGGAGGAGGAGGAGGTAGTGAACTCGGCGCCGCCGCCGCCTCCTCGGTTCGCCCTCGACGCGGCGCGACCGCGGCGGACACGCCGTCGAGCATGACTGCAGAGGGCCACCACGGCGACGGCACCGAGCACGAGGACGGCGGCGGCAGCCAGTTGGGCCCATCTTGGCGGCAGCCATTTGGGCCTGTGCTTGACGAAGAGGGGTAAAAATAAAAACTCCCGAGACGCGTCGCTTGCACCAGACGGCACCTGGTTAACAGTATTTCTAGTTCGCGCGCGCGGGGCGGCCCCTGGGGGTCCCCGGACGAAAAGTACTCCGGCAAGGTCCCGGCAAGGTCGGGTCAGAGATGCCGGAGTTCTGTTTCGGAGTCCAAGAGGGCTCCAGATCGGTCCAAGAGGGCCCCGAGAAGCTTTCTGGACGGTCCAAGAGAGGCCCGAGACGGCCAAAGATCGCCCGAAGACGCCCTCCGTAGCCATTTTGGCTCAAGTCGGGGCCTCGAAGTTTGCGGCGGGTGGTCGCCAGCCTACCAGCAAACACCCTGCCGATGTTGCCCAACCCGCGCGCGAGTCTTCAAGACATGGAGGGGCTTCTCGCCGAACAGGGGAAGGGCAAGGTGGTGAGCCTCGGCCCGCACGTGCCCAGCTCGGCCCCGACGCGCTGCCCCACGGCAAGTTCGCGCACGCTCGACGACGACCAGGACGCCGATGCGCCCCAGGAGGACTGGGGCGTCGCTGCGCTTCCGAGGGACGGCGACGAGCTGGCGTTCCTCAACACGGCGCCCTTCGAGACCGTGCCCGTCAGGGACGAGCGTCCCGGGAGGGGGTCTGCGATGCCAGCGCCCCCGCTGAGGCGCCTCCGGTCCGAGGCGTATTGGGAGCAGAAGGTTGCCGCCGCGTGGCGGCTGGCGTGCTCGCCTTGGGAGGTGGGCGTGCGGCAGCGTTGCCCCCGCGTCGACGGAGGCGGCTGCCTCGGGCCCGCGGCGGCCGCGCCGCCGACAGCGGAAGGCGCCGAAGGCGAGGGCCCAGCGGCGGCCGAGCCGCCAGCAGCAGGAGCCGCCGAGGGCGGAGGCTCCGAGGACGGCCGCAGGAGCTGGGCGGGCGCCGTCTCGAGGGAGTTGCGCCGCGGGGCCCGCGGGGCGCTCGTGCCGGTTGTTGCGCCTCTGGCCCCGCCGCCGGCTGCGCCGCCGCGGTCGCCCTCCGCAGCAGTCGGTGCCGCCCTGAGGTCGCGTGGCCGGTCGTACCATCCGGCTGGGGGATGTAGGAGCCGCTGGTCAGCGTCAAGGTCACGTAAGACTCGAGCTCGGCGGGACGCGGAGCTCTTCCTGGGCTTGACGGTCCAGGTTCGTGGGGCGTTTGCAGCGGGAGTTCGCGTCGAATTTCAGATTGGGTCTTATCATGTTCGTGACGGCCCCGTCAGGCCAACCTGGATCCTCCGAACCCTCGTCTTACCCACCAACCCAGTTGGCCACTTAATTACGTCTCCCCGACGGTTGCAAGCAGTTGGGAGCCAACTCCAGGATTGCCCTGCAACCGCTTGCGGCTCCAAGGCCAAGCCATGCACTTGTGTTTTGCCGCCCTTTGCCGTCTGCAGGCCAAGTGGCGCCCCTCAACGCGCGTGTGTGCAGCGGGAGCTCGCGTCAAATTTCAGACTGGGTCTTGTCGTTTTCCCGACGGTCCCTTCAGGCCAACCCAGGTGCTCCGGACCCGACTCTTACGTCTCCCCGACGGTTGCAAGCAGTTGGGAGCGAACTTCAGGATTGCCCTGCAACCGCTTGCGGTTCCAAGGCCAAGCCATGCACTTGTTTTTTTGCCGCCCTTTGCCGTCTGCAGGCCAAGTGGCGCCTCTCAACGCGCGTGTTGGGACGTTCTGACAAACATGCCCATTTGAAGTTGCGGTAGGGGCCAAGGCCCGCCCTCTTCTTAATACAGTGTACAGGAAGTCCCTGGCAGGATTTGGAGCACGTGCGCGATGATGAGAAAAACAATCTGAGGTTGCCAGTATATCGTCAGCCTCCGCAAAATTGGGAACGGGTTTCCAAACACCCACCCAGACTCGCAAGGCTGGTCTTGCCACCTTGCTGGGAGTTGCTAGGGGCCGCTGGTCATGCAAGCAGATGGGAGCGAACTTCAGGATTGCCCTGCAACCGCTTGCGGCTCCAAGGCCAAGCCATGCACTTGTTTTTTTGCCGCCCTTTGCCGTCTGCAGGCCAAGTGGCGCCTCTCAACGCGCGTGTTGGGACGTTCTGACAAACATGCCCATTTGAAGTTGCGGTAGGGGCCAATGCCCGCCCTCTTCTTAATACAGTGTGCAGGAACTCCCTCGCTGGATTTGGAGCACGTGCGCGATGATGAGAAAAACAATCTGAGGTTGCCAGTATATCGTCAGCCTCCGCAAAATTGGGAACGGGTTTCCAAACGCCCACCCAGATTCGCAAGGCTGGTCTTGCCAATTGCCACCTTGCTGGGAGTTGCTAGGGGCCGCTGGTCAGTTTGCAAGCAGTTGGGAGCGAACTTCAGGATTGCCCTGCAACCGCTTGCGGCTCCAAGGCCAAGCCATGCACTTGTTTTTTTGCCGCCCTTTGCCGTCTGCAGGCCAAGTGGCGCCTCTCAACGCGCGTGTTGGGACGTTCTGACAAACATGCCCATTTGAAGTTGCGGTAGGGGCCAAGGCCCGCCCTCTTCTTAATACAGTGTGCAGGAAGTCCCTAGCAGGATTTGGAGCACGCTCGCGATGATGAGAAAAACAATCTGAGGTTGCCAGTATATCGTCAGCCTCCGCAAAATTGGGAACGGGTTTCCAAACGCCCACCCAGATTCGCAAGGCTGGTCTTGCCACCTTGCTGGGAGTTGCTAGGGGCCGCTGGTCAGTTTTGCAAGCAGTTGGGAGCGAACTTCAGGATTGCCCTGCAACCGCTTGCGGCTCCAAGGCCAAGCCATGCACTTGTTTTTTTGCCGCCCTTTGCCGTCTGCAGGCCAAGTGGCGCCTTAAATGCACACTTGAGGTTGCCGATATTGCGTCAGCCTCCACACAGCAACATTGGGAATGGGGTCACGCCCACCCAGATGCGTGCGTGTTTTTTGCTTGGCGCCGCGCGCGCGAGCCACGGGACCTGCGGCGCCCGCGCCGGTGCCTCTCCACCGGAGCCCCTCGCCGCGCGCCCTCCTTGGAGCCCTCCTCCCTCCTCCCTCCTCCCTCCTCCGCGGTTTCTTCTGGGCACGCCTCTCGCCTTCCTCGCAGGGCGGTGCGCTGCGCCCAATGGGGGCAACGGCGCCCGCGCTAGTGCCTCTTCACCGGAGCCCCTTGCCGCGCGTCAGCCTCAAACACGCACGAGGCGTGTTTCGCATCAGAGGCGCATTCCCAGGCCGAGGGCGAGCGAGGACGCTGCCCGCTCCGCGCACGAGACGCGGGGCACGGCGCGTTCCCCCCGCCTTGCCTGGCCTCTGCACTTCCTCGGACTGCTTGGCAGCTCCTTGGCCGCTTTGCCTGGCCTCTGCACTTCCTCGGACTGCTTGGCAGCTCCTTAATTAATGTGCGCGAGGCGGCGGCGGCGCTGCGGTCAGATACCCCCCCCCCCCGGATGGGATGGGGGGGCTGTAGGTAATGTGCGCGAGGCGGCGGCGGCGCTGCGGTCAGATACCCCCCCCCCGGATGGGATGGGGGGGGGGAGGAGGTGGATGTAACTGTGCGGGTGGTTTGCAGTTTCGGTGAGGTTGTTGGTTTCGATATGGCCTTTGTTCTCCTCTTGCTCGTCCCCCCATGCTCTTCCGCTCTTCAGCCGCCTGCTTCTGCTCCCTCACTCCTCTGTTGGCGCGAGTTCAGGCGCGAGAGCGTGCCGCCGCGCCTGCTCGCAGAGGAAAACAAAAAAAACAAAAAAAAAAAAAAGATCGCCCGAAGACGCCCCAGATGGCCCCAATACAGCCCAAGAGGCCTCCAAGACGCTCCAAGGGCCTTCCAAGAGGCCTCCGAAGAGGGCCCCAAGTTGCCAAAATCGTTGATTTTCATTGTTTTTTTCTATGTTTTTTTGCGTTCTGGCCTTTTCGCTTCCGGACGCTCCAAGAGGGCCCAAGAGGCCTTCAAGACTGCTCCAAGACGGCCCACGAGGCTCCCAAGACGGCCCCGGAGCGGCCCAAGAGCGCCCCCCAGACGGCCCAAGTGCTGCCCAAGGCGGACCAAGAGGCCCCAAGACGGGCCCAAGAGGGGCTCAAGAAGGGAACCGAGAACTGAAAAATCGAGCCCTCCGCCCCAGAAGGCGCCCAGGACCCCGAAAGAGGCCCCAAGAGACTCTCCAAGACACCCCCAAGACGCCCCAATAAGCTCCCGTGAGGCCCCAAGAGGACCAACAACGTCAGGCCCCAGGCCCCAAGAGGACCAACAAATACCGCCAAGAGCCCGCCGAAAGCCCCCCAAGAGACCGTCACGAGAGCTCAGGAGGCCCCCTGGAGGCCTCCCGAGTTCTCCAAGAGGCCTAAAAAGAGGCGCCAAGAGGCCCCAAACGGCCCCACCGAGGCTCCAAGAGGCCACGAACGCGCAAGCAAACGCCTGCGATGGCACAATACGGGCCGGCGGAATGAGCGAAGCGATTAAATAAAAACTCCCGAGACGCGTCGCTTGCACCAGACGGCCTGTTGAACTGTGTATTGAAACAAACATGACGGCGGCGACGACGACGACGGCCACCACGACGGCGGCGACGACAGCGAGGAGGAGGACGGCGGCAACGACGGCGGCGGCGACCTCGGCGACGGCGGCGACAGCGAGGTGACGACGACGACGACGACGGCGACGGGCCACGGCGACGACGACGGCGACGGTGGCGGCCACCACGACGGCGACGACAGCGAGGATGAGGACGGCGACGGGCACGGCGACGGCGACCTCGACGACGGCGGCGACGGCGGCGGCGGCGGCGGCGACCGCACCGAGCCAGCGCGCTCCGGTTGGCGCCGCCTGCCCCCCCACCGGCAGGCTTGGTACCGGTGGGCGCTCGCCGTCATGTTCGGAGTCATCTTCATAGGCCTCCGCAAACGGGTGTCCGTCGTGGCCGTCGTCGTCGTCGTCGAAGTCGTCGTCGATGCCGCCGCTGTCGTCGTCGGCCGGCGCTGCCGTCGCTGCCCTCGTCGTCCTCGTCGTCATGCTCGCCGCCCCCGCGGAGAAGGGAGGAGGAGGAGGACGGAGAAGAGTGAGGATGAGGGAAGAGGAATATCACCAAGCGCGCTCAACTGGCCCCACTGCTCGCAAAATGCCAACTCGCAAATGCCCCAAACATACGTCGCGAATCACCCGCAGCGAATTCAGGCCATTTGCCAATAGTGTCTGTGCGAGTCCTGGAGTCCGGTTGTCAATCATAGAACGTGGAGGAAGAGGAACGATGAGCTGGAGGGACCAGTATAAACCTAAGATTCGTCAAGGATATTGCAATACACCCGCTCTCCGAGTTCCATCTTCATACGACCCTACAAGGATTCAGTCCTACTGCATGAGGGGAGTGCCCCATAGGAAGACAACCGTTTAAACATCTGTAACTGTACCAGAACACTATTCCTGGGACCTCAACGCCCCGAACCACCCTTACAGTTGCGTCTTAACGATCCTGGATCGTGCCCAGAAGCCGATCCTGGGACTTCAACACCGCGAATTGACGTGAGCGTTGCGCCCTGAGATTCCGACATTGTGCAAACACACCACTCCTGGGACGTTGACAATGAGAAGCCTCGCAATGGCTGTTTCGTGTTGATCCCCATGTGCGCGGCGCTAGGGCGAGTGCCTCTTGTTGATAAGGATTCTGCTTCCATCCGAAACATGCTTGCGTTCCTTTAAAAACGAACATGCGCGGCGCCCAGGCGAGACGAGAGTCACACGTTGACAAGGCAGCGCCCACCACCCGCGAAACTTCATACAATGTATTAATACGAATGCGCACGACGCTAACAAGGGACACATGTTGAACGCGGACCCCCAACCGGCCAAGAAGCTCTTTGCAACTTGTTTAAAGACGAGTGTGCGCGGCGCTCAGGCGAGAGTCACATTTTCATCACCAGCCGCCCTCCGCCCGCCAAACCGTTGCAAATGTCAAGCTGCAGGGTCATGATTGGAGAGGGCATTTCAGGTGAAACGCCCGGCGCGCCCTTTCGACAGGGAATGGTTGTTTCATAAAGGCACGGATTGTAGGGAGGAAGGATGAGGGTGAGCCCGCCGCAGAGCGGGGCGCGTGTATTGCGGCCCGCCTCGACGGAGGAAGGATGAGGAGGAGGGAGGAGGGAGGAGGGAGGAGTGGGAGGGAGGAGAGAGGAGGGAGGAGGGAGGATGAGGAGGATAACGATAAGGAGGAGGGAGGAGGGTGGAGGAGGGAGTGGGATGAAGGAGGTGAAGGAGGAAGAGGAGGTAGGACGAGGTGGAGGAGGAGGAGGAGGAGAAAGAGGAGGAGGGAGGAGGCGGAGGGAGGAGGGAGGAGGCGGAGGGAGGCAGGAGGAAGAGGAGGAGGAAGAATGAAGAGGAGGAGGGGGACCCAGGCAAACCCAAGACTCATCAGCGATGTTGGAATAATTCTCCTCCAAGGATTCAGTTCCTCAGGGAAGTGCCCCGTTGGAATACAGCCGGTTGAAGACAACGGCGGGTGCGGAGGGACAGAGACTGGACGACGCAGAGCTTTGCCTTGCAGCGCACGATCTTTTTGGCCAAGACGTGGCGCCGCCCCGCGCACCTCGCGCTAACCACACCCGTGCGGGCCCGCGCGCAGGCCGGGTCGGCTGTGAACGGCTTTGCTGCAACGTTTACCACTGGTTTCGATGCTCCTGCGTCGGCGGCGTAAATTCACGCAGCTGGGACGTCGAGGACGTGTGGCAGCGAAGTCATGACGATTGCGGCTACCACGCGGCCAGGCAAGTCCCTGTCCCCAGCTGGGATCGGTGGACGCGTTGCTGCCAGAGCTGCGACGCTCTGGGCACGAGGCACCAGCAGCCCGCGGGCCCCTGCGGCGGTTGCGGCCAGCCTGTTGTCTCCCACAGAGAGAAAGCAATCCTCGATACAGGCTCGCGCAGCGTATCGGCTGCTTGCGGCTGTTCATAGATGCGACCGTCCGGCACGCCGCGCCGGGTGACAGCGCGGGCTTGGCCGCGGCCGCCGGCCGCGACGGCGCCGCGGCGGCAGCAGTAGCAGAGGCCGACAAGCGGCAGCAATACCCAGAGGATCGCTGCCTTTAGACAATGCTTCCTTTGGCCCTTGAAGCGGGAGGGCGGCACGGCAAGGCCGATTTGCGCCACTTTCGCCAGTTGGCGCGCGACCAGGCGCAGGCGGTCGAAGAGGACAGGCCGAGGCGGTCCGCAGCGCCCTGTGCAAGCGTTGGGTGCGGCCCCTGGCTTTCCACAGAGTCACGGCCCGGCACTTCCGCAGCAGCGCGGGCTGCCGTGAAGACTTGGCGGCCTGGCGCGATGCCTGCCATTTTTGCTTAGTGCCGTGCGTTGCGGGACAGAGCTCCAGGCCGGCCCCTGAGAGCCTGCGGGTCCGCCATGTCCGCGGCTGGCACTCGGCGCAAGGAGGAGGAGGAGGAGGAGGAGGAGGAGGAGGAAGAGGAGGAGCAACAGTGCAAACCCCAGAGTCATCGACGATGTTGGAATGAACCCTCTCTCCAAGTTCCCTCTTCATAGGTGCCATAGGCCCCTACAGCGGTTCATTCCCACAGAGGGAATTGCCTCGTTGGAGGACAACCGTTTGAAGACCCTGAACCATGCTAAAACATTGTTCGCGGGATCCCAACGCCGCGGATCGACTGGATTCTTCCATGTTGACCCGGAATCGCGCCAGAACGCCATTGCTGGGACTTGAAGAACGCCGCGAATCAATTTGATTGTTGCGCCCCCGCAACCCGGAGAAGCTATTAAGGACCCCCCCCCCTCTCCGGCGAAACGATATCCCCCCCGCACCTGGAAGCGTTAACTCCGGCACCTGCGGCTAGGAGGAGGAGGAGGAAGCACATCGCCTGAGACATCGTCACATTTCTTAATAGAATTTGCCAAATCGCTTGAGACATCCTCACATGTCTTAGTAGACTTGGCCAAATCGCCTGAGACATCCTCATATTCCTTAACAGAATTGGCCAAATCGCCTGAGACATCCTCACATTTCGTACGAGAATTTGCAACATAGCTTGAGACATCCTCACATGTCTTACGGAAATTTGCCAAATCGCTTGAGAAATCGTTAAATATCTTAATACAATTGCCCAAATCGCTTGAGACATCAACGCATTTCTTAATAGGATTGGCCAAATCGCTTGAGACGTCGTCGCATTTCCAATTTGAACTTGCCAAATTGCTTGAGACAGCCCCACATTTCTTAATCGAAGTGGCCAAATCGCTTGAGACGTCCTCACATGTCTTAATCGAATTTGCTAAATCGCTTCAGACAGCCTCACATATCTTAATCGAATTGGCCAAATTGCTTGAGACATCCTCATATTTCTAAATAGAATTGGCCAGATCGCTTGAGGCATATTCACATTTCTTATTAGAATTGGCCAAATCGCTTGAGACAGCCTTACATTTCTTAGTAGAAATACATTAAATCGCCTGAAACATCCTCACGTTTCTAAGCAGAATTTGCCACATCGCTTGAGACAGCCTCACATTTCTTCATCCTTCTCCTCCTCCTTCCCCCTCTCCCTCCTTCCCCCCCAGCCCGCCTTTTCACAGTCCTGGCAATATTAGGGCAACCTTTCAGTGCTCAGGAGAGTTCCTGCCTGTGCCTGCCGCCCTTTTAAAGCTCAAGCGTTCAGTTTTCAGATCGGATTGGCCAAATCGCTTGAGACGTCCTCACATTTCCAAATAGAACTTGCCACATTGTCTGAGACATCCTCGCAATTCTTCTCAGCATTTGCCAAATCGCGTGAGACATCCTCACATTTTTCAACAGACTTGGCCAAATCGCTTGAGACATCCTTACATTTCTTATTCGAATTGGCCACATCGCCTGAGACATCCTCGCAATTCTTATCAGCATTTGCCAAATCGCCTGAGACATCCTAATTTCTTAACAAACTTGGCCAAATCGCCTGAGACACCCTTACACTTCTTAATATAATTGGCACAATTACATCCGACATTCTCATATTTCTAAATAGAATTTGCCAAATCGCCTGAGACATCCTCACATTTCTCAGCCGAATTAGCCAAGTGGCATGAGACATCCTCATATGTCTAAACAGAAGTGGCCAACTCGCCTGACCCATCCTCGTATTTCTTTGTAGATTGGCCAAATCGCCTGAGACATCCTTGCATTTCTTAATCGAATTAACTAGCCAAATCGCTTGAGACATCGTCACATGTCTTAATAGAATTGACCAAATCGCTTCAGACATCTTCACATGTCTTAATAGACTTGGCCACATCGCCTGAGACATCCTCGCAGTTTTATAAGCATTTGCCAAATCGCCTGAGACATCCTTGCAAGTCTTAAGAAAATGTACCAACTCGTCTACTCGTACTCGTACTCTTATTCGTATTCCTACTCCTACTCCTACTCCTACACTCCTACTCCTACTCCAACTCCTCCTCCCTCTCCTCCTACTCCTACTCCAACTCTGACTTCTACTGAGGGAGCCTCGCGACTCTTGCGCGGCCCAGGGAACCTCATAATAATCCCAGATGGCCGAGAGGATCCAGAAGAATCCAAGACGGTCCAAGACGTATCGCAAGGGGTTCTCATCGCAGGGCCCTGGAGATGCCTTCAGCCAATGGCCCCTCGCCTTCCCTCAGTGGCCAGGGCCTCTCAGGGCCCAGGGAGCTCTTATTATCAGAGGTCTTCGGCCGATCCGCCGGACCTCCTCCCCCATCGGGGTCCAGGGCCTCCTCAGGGCCCAGGGAGCTCTTATTCTCAGAGGCCTTTGGGGGCGGAAGTCCAGGTACTGGCAGGAGTCCAGGTATTCAGAAAGAAGCAGTGGCGCCTTATATTTTTTGTAGAATTGGCCACGTCGCCTAAGACATCTTCGCACTTCTTAGTAGAATTGGCAAACTCGCCTGAGACATCCTCGCATTTCTTAGTAAAATTTGCCAAATCGCCTGAAACATCAGTTGTTCCTTGGGCCTCTCAGCCATGTCATGGTTGTCAGGAGTAACTATCTACCATTGGTGTCTTCCGACGATTACGGCGACGACGAGCACGCTCTGGCTGTCGCACGGATATTTTTTTTCTGCCGGGTGCTAAGATAACGCCACGGTGCGGGGTGGGGGCGATACCCTCGGGTGCACCACCCCCTACGACGGCAGAAAAAAACGCATTTCCCCAAAGGGTTTCCAATAGAAGCCTCATCGGGAAAAACAAGCGGATCAGAACAAAGAGTAGAGAAGGAAGAGGAGGAAATCGTTTGAAACATCCTCACACATCTTAGTAAAATGGCACGAATCGCCTGAGACATCCTCGTATTCCTTCTAAGAGTTCGCCAAATCGCTTGAGACATCCTCATTCTGCTTAACAGAATTGTCCAAATCGCCTGAGCACTCACACTTCTTATTAGAATTGGCCAACTCGCTGGAAACATCCTCACATGTCTTAATAGAATTGGCCAAATCCCCTGAGACATCCTCACACTTGTTCTTAGTCTTCGTTCGTATTTTCGTTCGTTTTAGTCGTATCCTCATTCGTAGTCTGCGAGGGTCGCTGCTTTGTTCGGAATACTTCGGTTCCATGTGGATCATGAGGAAAACGATGTTTATTATCCGTATTATTACAATCAGTCGCATCTTGCTTTTCATTAGTCGTATTATTAGTTCTTTATTGTTTCTTATTATTAGTATCTTCTCTCGTATCGTCGCATCTTCGGCGACGACGAGCACGATATGGCTGTCACACGGAAATGTTTTTTGGCTGGGTGCTAAGATAACGCCACGGTGCGGGGTGGGGGCGAAAAAAAACGCATTTCTCTAAAGGATTTGCAATAGAAACCTCATCGGAAAAAAAAACAGAAAAAAAACGGATCATGACAAAGAGTAGAGAAGGAAGACAAAGAACTCGCTTGACACATCCTCACACATCTTAGTAATATTGCACAAATCATCTGATACATCCTCACCTTTCTTCTTCGAACTAACCAAATCGCTTGAGACATCCTCACATTGCTCAACAGAATTATCCGAATCGCCTGATCACCCTCAAATCGCCTGGCATCACGGTAACAGTAGCACCACGGTGGCACTAACAGTAGCATCACGCCATCAGGTTTCATTGTCATCACGGTAGCAGTAACAGTTACGGTGTCAGCAGTACCTGTGACACTCGCCTTATTCGTATTATTGTATTGTTCTTATTCGTATTTTCATTCGTATTCTCGCTTCTGATTGCAATTCCAATTGGGATGGCGTCCGAGGCGGGGCGCAGGAATTATTTACTTTCCTTTCAAGTGCGCGGTGCTAATTATATCGCTCGGCGAAAACCCCCCCGAATAATTATTTAATTACGGGGCAGTGCTACTGATAACCCCGGGGGGGTCCTTAATTGCTTCCTGGGGTTAGTCTTTAAACTTTTCCGAAACATCATTTCTGATACGCTGGTCATGGGAATCCGTGAACGCCTTGTGCGCGGCGCTAAAGCGATAGTCACCCGTTTTAAAACGGAGCCGCCTTCAATCCCTGAAACGTTTACAAACGTTTAAAAACGAATATACGCGCGGCAAGGAGAGAGCCACACCTCGAAAAGGAACCGCCCTCAATCCGTGAAGCTCTTGCAAACCGTTAAAACGAACGTGCGCGGCGCTACGGCGAGGGGCATTTGTTGAAGACCCGCCCTCCATATGCGAAGCTGCTGCCAATGTTTAAGCGTCAGGGTCATACATGGTGAGGAAATCTCAGGCAAAACTCGACCCGCCTCAAAAACTTGCCCCGAGGTGCGACTGGGAGGAGGAGGAGGAGGAGGAGGAGGAGGAGGAGGAGGAGGAAAAGGAGGAAGAGGAGGAGGAAAAGGAGGGATGATGATGATGAGGAGGAGGAGGAGGAGGAGGAGGAGGAGGAGGAGGAGGAGGACATATTGAGGACATATTAAGGACAACGAGCTGAAGAGACATATTGATTGATTGAGGATCGCGGCGGGGGAGGAGGATTGCAGGACTGGAGGAGTCGGCCAGTGGACAGCAATGGCCGCAATCGTCGTCGTCGTCGGTCGGTCTTCGTCTGTCGCCACGTCCGCCGCCGCCGCCGCCGCCGTCGTCGTCGTCGCCGCCGACGCCGTCGTCGCCGCCGTCGCCGCCGTCGCCGCCGTCGTCGTCGTTGTCGTCCGTTGTCGGCGGTTCTCCGCCGTCGTCGCGGTCGTGGTCGTGGTTTGTCGTGCGTCGAAGGCGTCGTGGTCGCGGTCGTCGGCCTTGTCGTCCGTGCGTAGCCGTCGTCGTTCGCCGCCGTCGGTCGTCGGCCTCGTGTCGGCGGCGCGGCCTGTGCGCAGTCATGGCAATCGTGGGGCGTTGCCCTGGCTTCTACCTTATCATGACCGTCGGCTCGCAGTTCGTGGTCGTGCCCATGGTGGCCGCGCCCCGCTCGTCGGGGGGGGGAGGGAAAAGGGCCAGGAGGAGGATTCGGGATCGGGGGGTGTGGAGGAAGAGGAGGATCGAGGACCGAGGTTGCTCGCGTAAGAAGCACACGTGTAAGATGTATGCAGAAGGTTTTGGAGTGCCGCGCAGGATGCTGGCGCAGGCGCAGGGGTCCTCCCCGGCGGTTCCTCTGTCGCGCCCCCCTCTCTTCTGGAAGCAGGGGCAGCAGGCGGATCGAGGTCGAGGGTTCGGATTCCATAGGTTCTGGCCCTTCCTGGACCTGCCGAAGCATCCTGAAGTGCCGGAGGGAGGCAGGAGGGAGCAGGGAGCATCGAGGATCGACGAGGGTTCCGTGGTCTCCCTCCTTTCAAGGGCCTTCTCAGGTGCCCTGAGTCGCCACGGCTGGATCCGCCTCGGAGCGATGGCCAGATCGCAAACTTTGGATGAGGAGGAGGGTGGGGAGGCAGAGGAAGAGTCGACAGTGGAGGTGGTGAAGTGGGAGTGCTGAAGGCGAAGAGGGGAAGGAGAGAGTTGGAGGGGGAATAGGCTTCCTTCCTCTTCCCCTTCTCCGACCCAATCATCTGACGACGTGATTTGTTCAACCCGCGGCCCCAGAGGTCACGACCCCTTTCTCAAGGTAAGGGTGGGGGTCGCCCCAGATCCATGTTCGGTGCATGGTCCTGGAGCCCAGATGGAGGGCCCCAAGGTTCCGACCTCGCGAGGAGCAATGCCATGATCGAGCGAACCATGTCGCCCCGCGCAGCCCCGCCGCCGCACGAGGTGAAGAACCTGGCGGCGCAATGGACGTGGGACCGCCGGGGCCTGCAGGGGCCCGCCGGAGCGCCCTGCGCGGGCGCCGCGTCCGCGTCCGCCGCTGCCTTTGTGGTCGTGGCCGTCGTCGTCGCCGTCTCTGCCGTCGTCTCTGTTGTCGTCGTCGTCGACGCCGTCGTCGTCGTCGGGGTCGTGGTCGTTGCCCTTGTTAACGTCGTCCTCGTTCTCGTCCCGTCCTCGTCGTCGTCGTAGTCGTCGTCGTCGGCGTGGTCGTCGGGCCTCGTCGCCAATCGTAGTCCGTAGTCGTCGTCGTGGTGGTCGGCCACCGCCGTCGTGGTCGAGGTCGTCGGCCGTCGTCGTGGTCTTCGTCGGGCTCGAGGCCGTCGTCGTCGTCGTGGCCGTGGCCGTCGCAGTCGCGGTCGTGGTCGTAGTTTGGAGCTGGCTGCGGGTCTGAGGTGGTTCTGGCGGGCCGCTTTCGGGCCTCACGACCATCCTTGACGGGTCAGGGGTGAACATATGCACTTGATGGGCCCCCAGAGGTTTCCGGGACCGTTCTTGAGCTGAATTTGCCCCATCCCCATTCCGACCGAGTTTCTGGGGTCCCAATCAGTTCAGACCCCTGGGCCGCCTCCAAGTCGTGATGGTCCACACCGTCCTCGTTGTCATCGTTTTTGTCATCGCCGTGGACGGCCCATGTATTGGATCTTACTGAAGGCTGCCGGCTGCCCCTGCTGCTCCAACTCCTCCTCCGTCCACACCTTCACCCCCCCTCCTCCCTCCTGCTTGGTTGCCCACCCGCTTGCGCGGTCTTTGGAAGCCCCACCCGTCATGTCTGTTCCACCTTTGGGCAGGGATCAGGAGAGTGGGGGAGGGACGGCGCGGTGGGAGGGATGGGAGGGGGGCGACGTGGGAGTGACGGGCGGTGCAGGGAGATGATTACAAGTCGGAGCGAGGTATAATGTCGAGGTCGGCTCGGGAAGGGTACCCTGGTGTTTTTCGTGTTTGGTTGGGTGCTCTCGTGCATCCTGGGGAGGGTACTCTCGGCTGTTCTCCAGTTTGGGCAGGTGGAGGTTGTCATGCTCTTGAGGGATGTTGTTCTGTCCTGGTCTGGCTGATCAGCAGCGCGCCAATCGTCGCATCGAGACGCCGCATCGCGAGGGGGGAGGGAATAGGGGCGGGGCAAGGGAGGGGGAGCGCAGGGGAAGAGCGATGGGGGGGAGGTGATGGAGCGGGGGGGGCGGCAAGCCGACGGCCTGGGCGGGGGAGTGCGGACAGGGGGCGGGAGGGGAGGGAGGGCATCGCGGGCAGTTCGGTCCCTCAACTCTCGATCCCTGATCCCCCGATTCTCGGTCCTCGATGGACGAGCCTCGATGCCCGCTGCTCCATGCTCGGTCCACCTGCCCATCCTGCTCCCGCCCGACAGCGAGCGGCACCAGCGGCCGCGGCCGCGGCGAGGACTCCGAGAGGATGGGCATCGGCGACGACACGCAGCTCGTGCTGGCGGTGCCCATGCCCCCGGCTCCTCGTTCAAGCATTGGCGAAGCGTCTGACTCGCCCATCTATTCACTAAACGATGTTCTCAGAACCTTTGTGGTTTGCACGAGATGTTCCTGCACATTTCTGGCTGAGACTTCCTGTTTTGAGCAATCGGCTTCGCGCTGCAAGACACATCGTTCTGTTCTTGTTCTGAGAAAAGTTCGTGGTAGGCCTATAGGTGGGGCCGACACGTTTCCAGGGGGAGTCGTGCCATTCGCCGTCGGGGTGTTTTCTCCGGTGTCCTCCTGCTCTCGCCCATGCACTGACAATCACTGTCGGGGGCAGCTCAGACTTGCTCGCCCCGCCCAGGTGGGAGGCAACGTTGGCCAGCAGGGGGCAGAACACGGAGAGGAAGAGGAACTGCCGGGAGGGTCGGTCCCTGCTCGCATCGTGGGCTCGCTTTCTGGGCTCGGCCCTTGACGTTTGCGAGCAGGTCCTGGGCGTTTACTCAGCGGCTTCGCCCGTCGGGGTGATCATTTTCAGAGTGTTTGGTGTCTGCCTTCTATCCGATGGCCTTCGGGCCATCCCGCCACCGTGCCTGGGCTAAGGATCAGAATTCCCAGGGGTGCTTCTTTGGGCCCCTCGGGAGCAGTTTCGGGGCCTCTGGGAGGCCTCCCCTGGGAGCCTATTGGGGGGTTCCCCTGGGGGCCTCTGGGAGGCCTCTTGAGGCTTATTGGAGGACTCTTCGGGGCCTCTTGGAACCTCCTGGGGACCCCTCGGGGCCGAGGGCTCGAACTGTCAGTTCGGGTTCCCCATCGGGGCCCCCTCTTGGGCCCTCTTCTGGCTGTCTCGGGCGCCTCTTGGGCCGTCTTGGGGCCCTCCTTGGGCCCTCTAAGGGGAAGTTGAAGCCGATCCCAGCCACATCGGCCGCTCAAGGCCCACTTGGGACAGACTGCAACCACTGGAAAGGGACTGATCTCAGCGTGTAGGATTCCTTCAGTAATGTCATTATATAATGCGGATGCCAGATTACAACTAGGGAAGCCCTGTTTAGCTCTCCATCAATTGAAGGATTCTTGAGGATCCCGAAGAGATTCTTTAGGATTCTTAAGGCGCTCCTGAGGATTTCGAGTGGATCCCACAGGAATTCGTGCGTTATCTCTCAGTATTCCTCGGGAGTGCGCATTTCACATTCGATTATGCCCCATTGTTCATTCTGAATATGAACTCACACCATCTCAGCCAGCCAGGTCGGTACGGATTCCCCGCATCACTCGGTCGGTATGGACACCTTTTTTTTGCGCGATTCCTCGTTGATCACAAGCAATGAATTTGACATTATTATTTGCGCAAGACCAGGACAAAGTGCACACGTGCGCGTCGTCGCGCGCGCATGCAAGAATCCGTGAAGAAACCAAGGTTTCGAAAGGATTTCAAAATCGAGTGTCTCTGAACACGCATTAGCAACATATAGTTTTGCAACCGTACTTTCCAAACAAGGTCTGCACGCGCTGTTGCTACTTCAACAGAAACCCTTTTTGTTGTCAGCATTCTCGTCAAATTCGACCTAACGGGCCTCATCGCGCGCGCATGTCGAAATTATTCGAGCGCCCTTTGGGGTTTGGGGTTTGCGGGTGCACGATCCCTGTCAAATAATCCCATGCGGGCCAGTCGCGCCGGTCGGCCGCGCGGTAATGCCGAAATCTCCCACAATTTTCATCATCAACGAAGCTTGGACGCCATGATCGTCATCGGCGTGGTCAGCATCGGCTCCGTCGTTGGCCTTGCCGTCGTCCTCGCCATCGTCGTCGTCACCCACATTGCTACGATCGACCCCCCTCATCTTTGTGCAACGTAAGATTATATGCGCGCGCACTCGTTTATCACAAATCGTAAGTTCCCAATAACCACTTGCAACAGAAGAAAGGGACGACGTGCACGCGCGCGTCGTTGTGCGCGCATGCCGAAATCATTCAGAAACCTTCATTCCGAGTGCCCGCTACATATATATATATATATATATATATGTATACATGTTTTCGCACCGAGGGTTTTCAAGCCAAAAATTGCGCTCGTGCTCCTGCGAATTCTTCAGGAAACTCTAGGTTGTTCAATATTTGCATAGAGTGCTACCATACGGATTTCGCGCGCGCATGTCGAAATCGTGCGAACGGATTTGTGCGCGTGCTGTCGCAAGAATCTTTTGCAGCAGATGGGACGAAGTGCACACGCGCGCGTCGTCGCACACGCGCGCGTCGTCGCGCGCGCATGCCGCCATCCTTCAAAAAACGCTGGTTTTCGTACGGGTGTTAAACTTGAGTGTCCCGAGGCCATATAGAAACAACTGGCATCGCAGCAACAGCTTTCGAACAAGCGTGCGCTCGCTCTCCTTGCGACTCCTCCAGACAACCATAGGTTTTTTTCATCACTGTCATGGAATTCTGCCAATCGGGCCTCTCCGCGTCGCATGCCGAGATCATTGGAACGCCCTTGCGCGCGTACTGGGGGACACGATCCGTGTCAGATAATACCATGCGGGCCTCTCTCGCGCGTCGGCCGCGCGCGCATGTCGAACTCCTTCCAAAACCTTCATCACCGACGCGAGGACGCCGTCATCGTCGCCAGGGGGATCAGCATCGGCGCCGTCACTGGCTGTGCCGTCGTCGTTGTCAACATCGTCGCCAGCATCACTACTATAATCATCGTGTCTACCGTTGTCGAAGTTCCCATGATACCACGCCCGCCCAATTTGCCGATTTGCACTGAAATGCCCACTCGGCTATGCCCAGCGGTCAACGCCTCCGCGGCCGCGTCGGTCGCGCCAAACTAGCTGGCCGCTGCGTGCGCGTGCATGCGCGGGCTGGCGCGGCCGCAGAGAGGCACTAGCCAACACCAAATGCTCACCGAAATCGCTTCCACATGGGTGTTGCGAACCAAGTTGCGGGTGGGTGGGTGGGTGGGATGATTGCGCGAGCAGTGCATTGACATACGCAAGTTGAGCATTGGCGAATTGCACCACGTATGTTGCACCACATATATTACACCGCGTAGAAAATACGACATAGGTCGCACCAGTTGAATTGCACCACGTCGGCTGCACAGCGTAAAACGCGCACCGCCTATTTCACACAACGCGGATTGCGCCACAGAGCACCACACATGTTGCACTGCACATGTTGTACAACATAAGTTGTGTTATATTACATTGACCGCGCAACGTAGATGTAGTGAACCGTTGGTGCCCGGCCCGATCGCAATTGTTTTTTCGGAAATGTGTTGGGGGTCGAAAAGAGTTCGCTGTATCCGTACCATAGCTTCCCCAAGACATCCCAACCTCATTGGCCCGATCGCGGCCAGTTGGTATCGGTTCGATGTGGTCGACGGTCGTCCCGAAGTGGTAACGATTCGGCCCGATCGCTTCTTGGGGGTCATTTTGGGCCTGGTTCGGGGCCGTCTTGGGGGCCTCGTGGGCCGTCTGGGGGCGTCGGCAAGGCGAAACGGCGAGAACACCCTAACCTATCAACACCAACGGAAATTTACGATGGTGGCCTATTTGGGCCCTCTTGGGAGGCTTTCGGAGGCCTCTTTGGGCCTCATGTAGGCCTCTTGGGCCGTCTGAGGGCCATCTCGGGCGTACTTTAGCGATCGCTCGGATTCGGGACCCTCTTGGACCATCTCTGGGGACTCTTGGAGCTCTCTTGGTCTGTCTTGGAGCCCTTTGGGGCCCCAAAAGTCCTGCGAGGAGCCGCGGGGAACCGCGACCAACCCCAGGAGTTCTGTGAATTTGGGGCCTGGGCCCCTTACGAACTCCTCAGTAGTGATGATTGTGGCTTCGAGGATGCGGCCCAGGACTTGAGGACGCGCCAATTCCATGCCCAGCGGCTCACGGTGTCGTATATGAGGAGTGCCAGAAAAGGCCCCGCCTTCGACCGAAGGAGTCGTCAGCTCTTCCTCGACGGAAGGCTGGCGGAAGGCGGCGGAAAGAGAACGGTTGCGGCTCCAAGAGAGGACCGCGTTTCTGGAGTCAGGGTTTCGGGGATCGGCCATGCAGTCAACCCGCGTGGTAAGGATGCGCAGGTTTCCCAGGTTACCCTTGCGTCCTTCGCCTTCGGCCCATCCTTGACCGCTTCCGCTGGCCGCGCCCCGCCCGCACAGTGTCGACGTGGCCCTCCAAGGCCCCTGTCTTCTCACCGTGCCTCCTTTGTGACTTCTTACGGTGCGGGTGGGCTGCACAGGGATGCCAGGACGGTCGGCCCTTGCTGGAATCGTGGGGCTGGCGTCGGGCTCGGCCTTCTCGCGGTGCCGGGAGGCGGGCCGCTCTGCACGCCGGGCGGCGGAGGCAGGGGCGAGGGCGGCGAGGGCGAGGGGCGAAGCGCGAGGCGCGGCGGAGGTGCGGCGGAGACGCGAAGGCGAGGAGCGGGCGAGGAGGAGTGGCAGGAAGAGCAGCAGGACGAGGAGGAGCACGGAGGAGGGCGAGGAGGAGGAGGAGGCCGAGGAGGAGGCCCGAGGTCCTGGTTGACCCCGCCATCCTCGGCGCGCCGCTGGGGGCGGGCTCGTCTGCGGCAGCGCAGCGGTGCAAAGGCGGCGTCGCGGCCGCGGCCGTGGCTGAGGAGGGATATTCACAACTAGTCGAAAAATAGTCTGGGGATTTTTTTTCTTATTTTTTTGCGCATGTCTGTGGGATTGTCGCTTTTTTATATTATTATTATTATTATTATTATTATTATTGTTATTATTATTATTATTATTTTTTCGCCCAAAATCCGCTTGTAGGGGGGCACGCCCACCTTAGTGCGTGGCCCAGACCCCCCTCCAGTCCTGAAGGAGTCACGACTGGAGCTCTTCGCCATCCCGGGCCTCTGGGGTCCCTTGCCGGCCCCCATCGGGGCCGTCAGAAGAACGGCTCGGGAGGAGAAGCCGGTCCCGGGGAGTGGGTCAGCTGCTTCTACTTGTTTCCTGGAGAAGGGACCTCAGGGCCCACCTCAGCTCCGTATGCTTATGCAGTGTTTGCCCCATGCGCCCCTCACTTGTTCCTACTGCGTCCGTTGGCGCGCACCTCGGGGCCGGGCGGGCCGGCTCAAGCGTGCCGCGCCAGAGCCGAGTGTTGCGCCGGTCGCGGGCGCAAAGGGCAGGAGCGAGCCAATTTAGGGGGCAGCGAGACCAGCAGGAGGAGGTCGATAGTCGGAGGTTGCTAAGTTGCTAAGTCCGGATGTTTGCTTCTCCTAGTGGGATGCTGAGTCCGTGCGGAGTAAGTCCACACGGAGTGTTCGGCCTCCGCCTGGGCTTGCTCCGATTGGATTTGGCTCCTCCTGAGGTGGAGGGCCCTCCTTATCGCCCTCCTTCCTTCCTCCTCCTGCCCCCCTCCTCGTGGCGCTCTCCTGTTGGCAAATAAAGGCGCTGCGAAGCAACAGTGTGGCGGTTGTCCCGGTACCGGCAACGGCTCCGGGGCCGTGGGAGCCCCTGGGGGAGAGTCAGCACGAATCGCCGCCGTGGACGTAGAGCAGCAAGGGCAATGGGTGCTCAAAGCGGCCTTTTGTCGGGTATAGCCAGGACTCGGATAAGGGGACCCGGTTCGTGGTAGGGCCCTGGAGCCCCTCAATTGGCTTGATTCACTAAACCAGGTTTGCCGTAACTGGTGTTTTTCGGGTGACGGCAGTTCCGGTTAGTGGAAATGGGACGGGGGGGCGCCCCCGGTAGAAATCACTAAACCAGGTTCTTTTAAACCCCGTTCTACCAACGCCCCAGACCCCTTGGAGTCATGAAAACTCGCGACGGGAGGTTTTTATGTATTTTCGGCCTCTGGGGACTCAAAACACGACGCAGGATGAACAACTGGTTCCTGGAAATGCGCCGGGACCTCTGGGAGTCGCTGTTTTGTACAAATCATGGTTTCGGTGGGTCTGGGCCAGCGGAGTTACGTAATCGGTCCAGCGACAGCTGCACCGCGGGCGTTCAAGGTTGAACTCCGCCCGCGGCCACGCGTCCGACGCTGAAGCCTGCGCCCTCGGAGAGCCGCAACCGCTCATAGGCTGAACGGCCCACGCGGTGCCAAGAGACCGCCGCCCGAGCCGTCGCCTCGCGAGCTTGCCGCAGGCAGCACCACGGGCCCGCGGACCGCGCCGAGGGCCTCGGCGAGGGCCTCGCCGTCTCGCCGCGGCCTCGGCGACGGGGCTCGAGGCGGGCCGCGGTGGCCGCCGCCGCCCGCGACCCCCGCCGGAGGCGGCGAGCCCAGGCCCTCGCCCCTCCCGCCGCGGCCGTGCGCCGCGCGGGCGCCGTGCCGCGCGAGGTGATCTCCATGATCCTGCTGTTGCCCTACATGCTGCTGTGCGTGCCGGGCGCCCTGCAGGCTGCGCGAGCCCCTGCCGTACGTGCCCTCGGGCCTCGCTGGCCGCCGCCGCCGCCTTCGTCGCGGGGGTCGGCGCCGCGGCGGTCGCCATCGCCGCCGCCTTCGTCGCGGCGGTCGCTGCCACCGCCGTCGTCGCCGTCGCCGTCGTCGCCGTCGCCTTCGTCGTGGCCGCCGCCGCCGTTGGCGCCGCCGCACCCCTCATCACCACCGTCGTCGCTGCCCTCTCCCCCATCACCACCCCTGCTCTCAGGCCCGCGATTGTGTGGCACCAGCGCCCGCGTCCGTGCTGACACGCAGAGCGGTCTCCTGGAGCGGGTAGTTGACGCCTGGGATCTCCAACCGCCCTCTTCCTTGCAGAAGCCGGGCGAAGGCTGGCAAACCCGTGGCTGCTAAGTCGGAGCTCCGGAAATTGTGTTTGTACTTCTGGGAAGCGGCCCGTTTACTATTTAGCGCGCTGAGCTTGATTCCGGGAACTTTTTTTTTTTTCTTCCGGGAGGGCCGTTGTAGCAGCCACGGATTTGCCAGCCCTCGCTCAGCTTCCAGTCCCTGCCTCGCGTCCCTGCCTTTCCTGCCCATCAGCCCCCCTCTGCAAGCCCTCTCTCCTCCACCTCTCCTCCACCTCGTGGCCTCTGCATAGGGGGGCCTCGGGCGGCCTGGCTCGGTGTGCACGCAGGAAGCCCTGGCAGGGGCACAGCGTGCACAGAAGGATCTCTCGCAGGGGCGTGCGCGAAGGAGACAATATTGTTGTTGGGCGACGTCGTGATTTTCGGAGGTCGGTGCTGCACGCTATCTTTGCGACGATAGCCCAGACCCTGGACGTCATGATGATGTCCAGAACGTCGACCCCCAGAGGTCTCGGCCCATTCCCCTGCAACGGTTTCTCATCCCGAGTCGTTGTCTGACAGTCCCCAGGCCCGGCGAGCGCCCCCCGACGCCGAAAATACCACAACACTGGCCCTCGTGATTTCTGTTCACGGCTCGCTGGATTTTCAGACCCGCCCCGAAATGTCTGCGGTCGGCACGCGCCACGCGACGTGAGTTCGGGAGGCTTACTGCGTTTCGCGGCCGCGCCCGAGCGGCCGGCCGCGAGACCGCTCGGGCGGCCCAGGGTCTCCATCCTCTTTCCGATGCCTTTCGATGGTTATCGGGTCTGTGCCGCAGGCTGCGGCGTACCCGTTCCGTTGAGCGCTCTCCTGTGGGCGCTGTATTGGTCCTTCCCTGGCCTCGCGAGGCGTTTTGCGACGGAGGAGCTGGGGGCTCCTCTGACCTTCTCTTCTCTTGTCTTTGAGCGGCGCTGGCTGCGCTGCGCGCCGCTGAGACCAGGCTTGTCTCGGAGCCTTCCCGCCTGTCACGCGGGAGCGGGCAGCGCGCCCTTCGGCCCGCAGGCTGCGGGCTGCCTCGCTGAGAAGCAGGATGCTTCTCCCTTCTTTGCCGCTGTCGCTGGGGGAGGAGACGCCGATGTAGATGACCGTCATGGATGGCTGCCGTCTGTGGCGATGCTTCCCGTACGTGTCATCGAGAGTTGTCCTTGTCCTCCTGCTCTTCTCCTCCTCTTCCTCCTCCCCTCCTCCTCCTCCTCCTCCTCCTTCTCCTCCTCCTCCTTTTGGTCCTCCTCCTCCTTCTTCTTTCCTGTCCTCCTCCTCCTCGTCCTCCTCCTCCTCCTCCTCCTCCTCCTCGTCCTCCTCCTCCTCCTCCTCGTCGTCCTCGTCCTCTCCTCTCTCCTCCTCTCCTCCTCCTCCTCCTCCTCCTCCTCCTCCTCCTCCTCTTGTTCCTCCTTTCCTCCTCCTCCTCCTCTCCTCCTCCTCCTCCTCCTCCTCGTCTTCATTATCATCCTGTTCACCCTCCTCCCTCCTCCTCCTCCTCCTCCTCCTCCTCCTCCTCCTCCGCCAGGTGCCAAGCCACTTCTGGCTGAACCCCTGGACCTGGCGCCAGGCGGCCGAAGACCGTCTGAGGGGCACGCACCTGGGCAGGGCGAGGCTCGCGGCGCCCGCGGAGCCGCGCCGCCCTCGCGCCGCCCCTGAATCGGCGAAGGAGGATGAAGTTGAGGAGGAGGAGGAGGAGGAGGAGGAGGAGGAGGAGGAGGAGGAGGAGGAGGAGGAGGAGGAGGGGGGGGCGGAGGAGGAGGAGGA